CACTTGTCACATCAGCAGACATCAGGATTCATGTAAAAGTTTCTATCCCCTGCTTCCTTCTAGCTCCGTTCCCCCCCACCACACACACACACACACACACACACACACACACACACACCCACCCCATAGCTACTGGAATACTTCTCAGGGTCACTAACTTGTGCCAGAAGCCATTGCTTCTTACCAGCCCACAGAGACTTCCAGGAGGTAAACAGTACCTGGGATGTAACACAGCCAGAGCCTGTGTATGTGCATGGGCACCTACTCTGGTGGGGAGGCAGAGACGGGAGGCTCTGTGGGGAGGGCAGGGCCCCTCCACCAACCTCACCTGCCCCACTGGGGCTCATATCACATCTCTTCCCCTTTGGAAAATTCCTGACTAGATTCCAAACACGTTCTGTAATGAAATCCACCCCCCACTGAGACTAGGTGGGTGGCATCCCTGAGTGCCCACAGTCCTGTGCATGTCCCTTCAGCCTAAACACATTGGCAAATGGTCTCATTCTACAAGACGGTATTAAAGGGAGACGTCTGTGAACTGTGACTTCTATAAGGTCTTTTCAGAGAGTTACATATGTCCTTTCATTGTGGAAATTAGAAAAAAGGCAGGTAAATAACTTCAAACTACATTAGATAAATACCACAAGCAGTAATAGGACAATCATGAGCAATTTGAAGCCTGCCAGGCACTAAAAGAAAATGTGTAAGTCAGGGAGGCATCTGTATGGGAAAATGTAAAATGAAATTATTTCCATTCCCCTTCTCTCACACATGGACTTGTCTCCTGAGCCTCATAAGCACATTATCTCATTTGACAATAAGTGTCAGCAATTGCAGTGCTAACTTTAAAGGTTTAATGTACTAAAAGAATTTCATTTTGGGGAAGAAGAGCGAAATTTGATATTGGCATACCTGTGGCTAAATTTTACTGTCTGTGTGAAATTATATTCTTTGGGATTGGTTATGTCTGGTGACCTGGGTTGCCATCATTCAAAAGTGGGGATGCCAGGAGGAGGCTGGGGTCTTTTGATGGCATCTCACTACTATCATTCATCTGCTGCATGTGCAGGAGCCTGGACTTGCTTGTGAATTTATTTATGGGCCTCTTCCTCCTCTGCTGGCTCCCTTGTGAACCAGCGTCCGCCGCCTGGTCATTATGCACACTCGGCTCCCCTCATGGGTTGGCATCATTGGGATCACATGCATCACTAATAATGACACTGGTGTGTCTGCCAGGTCAGGAGGGCTCCAGAGAACCAGCCATCCGAGGCGCCACGCTACATTTGAAGAGATAATATTGTTCCTGGTGAAGGTTATTCTGCTGCCAAGCAGCCCCAGTTAACAAAAAGGAACAACTCTTCCTCTATGTGGCAGGGCTTACTGGTAGGAGAGTGGCAGGTGGCTTGAGTTCTCATTCGCACAGGAAGGAGGACTTGGCACACAAGAAAGCTGACATGTTAGGGTGCATGTCCAGAGGCTGTGGGCTGTGTTGGCAGACAGCAGCCTGGTCTTGGCATTTGCTGGTGACATTGGCATGACGATGCATCAGGATGGACAGTTGGCAGATGACCCATGACCCCATGAAGCCATACTGCAAGTGTGCAGGGGTAAGCGGCTATGGCAGGCTAGGAGCCCCCCCCCTCCACCAGATCCCCAAGGGTGCAGGTGTGGGATTTGAGACCAGTCTGAAGTCTTTTTCTTGGTCATTCCTCGTGGGTTATCTGGGTTGAATCTCAAGCTCTGGGCAGTGGTCAGCAGAGGTGAGGGAGCCAGTGTTGGTAAGAGAAAGTTTCCAGAGCTCATGAGGAAAGGCAGATGGATCTTGAAAGCATGGTGTTGAATGGGCATCTCTCAGCCCACACTCAGCCTGCTGCTGATTGGTTTCCAGGACCCTCCTTGACATCACCTCCTTCAGGTAGAGTGTGTATGTCCTGTGTGTGTCCTGGTTCCCTGTTCCCTGTCACCCCCCTCAGTGTCTTTAAGGCGAGTGACTCACACCTTCAGACAAGAGTTGTGATATGTGCCAGGTTGCCAGGGATCCCGGCAGAGGCAGGGAAGCATAGCAGATTACCGAATGATTGAATCCATGCCATGGTTAGATAAGAACTATCTTCACATCAGAGCAGCCTGGACACACCAGGTCACCAGGACGAAAGAGCACAAGACGAGAGGCTGCAGAGCAGGATCACGTGTGTGTTCTCCATGTACCTGTATCCCCCTGCACTCATACTTACACACATATTCACATACTACATGCACATCACACAAACATCCACATACTCACCATAATACCACACACACACACATATACACACACACACACACAAACATCATATCACATCCACAACATCTTTCTCCATTTTCCAATATCATTCAGACAGCAAATCAGCAAGATTTCATTGACAATACTTAGAGGGGACTATTAAGGTAGGCCCCATTCATTTGGAGGTCTATCTTAAACAATATGATAGTAACATTTTCTACTTAATTAACAGCATCTATATAAAAGGGGGTAATCAATCCATTGATTGAAAATGAGATTCCCAAGCATTTCTAAAACGTTTTAACATATGATAAACAATTAGAAGTTATTTGTATCTCCAAGTCTTTACCCACTGGCCAATAAACAGAATTAGGGGGAAATGAGCATTAGCCAATCTTGACTGAAAGTTTCTGAGTCCTTGCCTCTCCTCAACTCCATGATTCAGGGGGCTGACGACTCTCATCTTACAAACAAGGCATTGAGGCTCTGAGAGGTGAAATTCATGGTCTGAGTTTGCCAGGCTCGCAAGTCTGAGGGTAGGAGCGCATGCCAAGTCCTGGAGCTCACAGGGGGCTCTGCTTTCCCGACTGTGCGGGCAGCAGGAGGGAGTCTGTCTGCTGCTGTGGGATGGTGGTGTGGGGAGACCTTTCGTGGTGGGTCACTCTTTCAACACCTCAGGAGCAGAACAGGAACTTTGTGAAAGCTCCAGATAGTTAATTTCTCAAGGTCTTGGGCTCTGGTTGTTGTTGAAGGGTGGCTTCTGTTTTCTGTACATTGAAAACCACTTTCTTCACTTCCCCAGCTTTCTCTAGCCTCGCTACTTCCTTTCTTTTTCTTCTGTGGAGACTAGACTCCCCTAGGCTTCCAGCAGCAGACAGCAGTAGGCAGAGTGGGAGTTCCTGCCAGGAGTGTCCCACACAGCGCTGCCCACGCGTCAGAACTCCACCCCACCTGCATATGCATTCAGATTTCTCTCTCCATATATTAAAGGTTTCTGAAATAACCCAATAACTTGGCTGATCTGGACATTTTCCAATTTAGATTATGAGAGAATATAAATAGCCACATGTTCACTGCATGCCTTGCTGAGCAGAGAACTGAAGACAGGATTAAGAGTCCCTGTCTGGTTCTGGTGGAGTCTTCCCCTGTTCTCTATCCCTTCACTTGATCCTCCAGAAAATGAAGGAATCCAAGTCTATAATCATGAATGTTTGCTCTGCTTCTAACCTTGGGTGATTCTATGATTTTGCTTTTGTTGAGTAAGACAGGGAAATAAACTCAGTTTCCACTAGCATTAATAATTATGTTGTCTGAGCTGGGTGTGGTGGTGCATACCTATAATCCAAGCTCCTTGGGAGTCTGAGGCAGGGGGATTGCAAGTTCAAGGCCAGCCTGGGCAACAAAGCAAAACTCTGTCTCAAAATAAAAATGACTGGGTTATAGCTCGTTGGCAGAACACTTGCCTCTCAGGTACAAGGCTCTGTGTTCCATTACTAGTACTGGAGAGGGGTTGTCCATCACACAGGTGTGCTGCAATTCCTAAAAACTGATGGCAAGATGGACAACATTCCCATGGAAATCCCTGCCATGGCTTCTTTGTGGTCCAAGCAACAACCTTAGCAGCCACCTTGCTTCTTCTCCAATCCACAACAAGCACAATTTAGCTCATTTTAGTTGAGAAAAAGTAGCCCATCTGTTAGGTGATATTAAAATTCAAAAAAGGTGTTCATGTGGTTGGGAATGTTTTGTCCGCCTCTTTTAAATGCTTTACAATATGCTACAAGTGAGAGGAGAGTATAGTGCAAGCTAAGTGCTCCCAGGATTAGCTTTCTCTCTTACACACACACACACACACACACATACACACACACACACACACACACACACACGCACACATCACCAGCAATGTCTACTCTGGCTGTCCTTATTAAGCTGAGCAGAAGAGACTGCTTGGATCCCTTTTCTAAACTGGCTTTGTTTAAAATAGGACCCTGACGCTGCTGCTTTGGCTATTCTCCAGTTTTATGCGCCAGAACTGTTTCAACACAGAGCCTCAAGTCCAACTCTTTCCTCGTTCAACAGTGGTACAAACCATGTTTTAAGAAACTATAATCATTTTTCTTTTTTTGGTTTGAAGAGGAAAACAAAGGAAAGGGAGAAGGAGATGGTTTAAAAAAACTGGATTATTTCCTACAATCCCTGGGGTCCTCTGTCACTTAGAAATTACTGATATATTCCTGACCCCAAAGTAAGGATGGTCCCTGGTGAGGTGGAGGGTGCAATTCCAGGTGAGACGTGGTGAGGTTGAGATGGTGGGTGAAGACAAGACTCTGGATTAGCATGCACCTGAAGGTGAGAATCCAGGAGAGGACAGGATTCCAGATAAATATGGGACTCCACAAAAGAATGGAGGTAGAAGTCCAGATAAGACATGGAACTGCAGTGGGGACGCGATTCTGGGTAAAGATGGGGTTTCAGGTGATCGTGGCCTCCAGGTGAGCATGGGATTCCAGGTGAGGATGGAACTATGTGGGAGGAGGTGCTTGCAGGTAAGGATGGCGCTGCAGAGGAGGGTGGGCTCCCTGGCAGGATGGGAGCAGAGCTCCCGCTTTGGGGAAGACCAGAGCCCCTCTCATATGGTCCCCAGGATCTCATTGTTTAGGGACAGTGCAGAAAACCCCCCATATCAAGCAAGGACCTCTCCACATTTTGAGGCAGAGGGGAGGGAGCCGCTTACTTAGATTGTCTTCGTCCTCCGTGTTGGTGGTGCCGGGGCTCAGGTACTTGAAGGGAGCGAGGAAGGTGGACAATATGCTTACTTTGTCTGGAAAGAGAAGAACAGGAAATGCACTTTTGACATCGAGTTTCAGAAGAACTCAATGCTTTCATATGTTCTTATTACCGAGGGGTTGGATAAGGGAGGTGGAAAGGTCGTTCTGGTTTTAGACACTTCATTCTGGCTCTGTCTTTTATTGAATTTCTGACAGCATTTTATCAAATTCCTCTCTCCATTCAATTTGAAACTTTATGATTTTCATCTTTCTTCGATTATATTTGTCATCTTCCTTGCTCTCATTCCTGTCCCTTAAAACTTTCAGTAATTGTCTTCAGGTAGCAACTTTGCATCTACTTACCAGGTGGGTGAGCCAGAGCCCATCATAGCAAGGTCACATCCCAGAGAGGAACTAGGATGAGTAAAACAATTTATAATTTATAGAGAACCAGACCATTATTATTCCTCATTATAATTATTATATTATATTCAATTGTCATTCCTCGTTAAGGAGAATTTCTTTTAGGGGCTTGAAATGCATGACTATAATGGGCTTATTAAAACCATAGCCATGTTACCTAGTGGGCATTTGAGCAGATGTCTAAGAGAGGTCAGATGGGCATAAAGACAACGAGGGCGGGGGGTCTGGACAGTCCCTCCTGGAAATGGCCAAGTATGATGGATGCTGACGATGCAATTCCAGAACTGTGCTTTGCCAATGGCCTGGTAGCCAGGAAGTCAAAAGTGAGGTGGCCAGGCATCCTGGGTACCAGGCATCAAGCACAGCACAGTTGACAAAATGGACCAATCCAGAAAATGCCACTCAAGACCAATAAAATATCTCCTCCACAGTTTCAGAAACTCCTCTTAAACAGAGAGGTGAAGGAATTGTAGGTTAGAGGTATTTTGGGAGAAAAAATGACCAAGGAGGGGAGCTCAAGGAGGGTATCCTCATCTTAGTGATTTCCATTGACTAAGTTAAAGGCGAGGAGTTGGGAGTATTTGTGTGCATAGAACCTGATGCACTGGAACACAGCCTGCTAGAGACACAGCACATGAGCCCCTCAGCCCAGGGATTCTCAGCTGCCCACTGATGCCCCTGCATCTGCAAAACTCCTTGTTGCAGGATGGATATTGACCACATTTATTAAAAGGCTACGGATGGAAATGCCATCACTGCTTATTCAGTGTGGTGCAGACTTGCGATAGAGTGACTTACTCTTTTCTTACCAAGTTGCTGGGTGAACTCTCTACCAAGGGCTTAGTTGCTTTGCTAGCTGATGTCTTTCTCCCTCCTCTGAGGGCATCACCCCTAAGGGCAGGGTGTTTTAGTGGGGCTTCAGTGTTCACATTGCACTCTGCGCCTTGTCTGCCTCTGGCACTACAGAGGAGCACTCTCTCCTGGGGGCTCCCACGGGCACTGTATACCTTGATCAAAGTGTGATTCTTTTTTCTCATGAAAACACTCACTGGTGGTTTTATATGTCCTTAGCCTTCAGGCATCTGGACACAGCCTGAAACCTGCTCCTTTTTTTATTATTATTTTTATTTTTTTCCTGAGGTTGAGCCTGTTTTCTCCTTAGCCAAGCTATCCAGAGGCCAGGGGAGTTCACATTGAAATTCATTCAGAAGCCTGTTAACAGCTGTTGTTTCCAACAGGGACAGGCAACAATATAATGTTCACACAAAGAGAACAATAAATAACCCGAATATAAAACGCCTGCTCCTTCTGCATTCTACCAAACAAGAAGAATAAACCCAGGAAAGGATTTGCTCTCTCTGAACTCTCACGGCCCAAGCTAATTTACTACAAGAGAATGAAATATCTTGCTTGAGTTATAATTTCATTAAGGGAGTCCAATAATGTTACACAAAGACTGTGAAGCTCAAATGATTTAGTCTGGAGGATCTCAAAATGAAATTACATTTTTTTTTTAATAAAGCAGGACTACCGGCCAAACACCCACAAAAATACCTTGAACTATTTCAGAGCTCACCTTGACAAAATTGTGAAATATTTAAAGATTTTATTTAAGATCTGCCAAGTTCTCACTTTCTACTGTTGCTAGATTTATCAAATAAAAACACAGGACACCCAGTGAAAATTGAATTTCAGATAAATACCACATTTTTTTTTCAAGTATACTTATATTGTCAAAATTGTGTGAGGGCTAGCTAAATTGAGACAATTACTCATTATTTATCTGCAATTCATATTTCAGGTGAAGAACTTGAAAACCCATTTCTCTAAGGAAGATACTCTAAGGGCAATTAGCACACAAAAATGATGCTTAGCATTACTAGCCATTAGGGAAATGTTATGAAAATCTCAGGGAAATTCCACTTCTTACTCACTACAATGGCTAATGGAGAAAGTACAATCATTGTACACTATTGGTGGGAAAGTGAAAGGATGCAGCCACCATGGAATTAGCAGTTCCACTTGTAGATCTATACCCCAAAGAATCGAAGCCCAGGGAGATATTTGCACATTTATGTTAGTAGTGGTATTATTCACAGTAGCTTAGAGTCAGAAGCACTTTGAATGTCCATCAACAGATGAATGGATAAACATTCTCATACCGTGGAAAGTATGCCTTAGAAAGAAGGAAATCCTACCATTTGTGACAATGTGGTTGAAATTGGAGAAACTTATGTTAAGTGAAAATAAATACTTCATGATCTCATTAATATGTGGAATCTAAAAAGTTCCAACTCTTAGAAGCAGAGATTAGAACAGTTGTCATCGGGGGCTGGAGAAGTGGGCTGGATGGGGAGATATTGGCAAAAGGATATACACTTTCAGTTATGAGATGAATAATGAATTCTGGAGACCTAACACATAGCATGTGATTATATTTAATACTAATGTATACTTAAAAATTGATAAGAGCAGATTTTCTGTCTTCAGGAGTATACACACACACACACACACAAAGGTAACTATAAGTGTTGATGGAGAGCTTAATTAATTTGATTTTGGCTATGTATACACATATTAAATTATCATACTACACATTCTGAATATACGCTTTGTGTCAATTAAATATTTTGAAAATAAATAGTCACTATGGCAAGAAAGAAAAGAATTGGATTATCTGTTTCTTCCATTTTTTTTATCTAGCAGCCCTAATTAAGCCCTATCAATTTTTCTTTTCTCTAGCGTAGTGGATTATACATTTCACAGGCCAGTTTAAACAAACCAAACTAACAGAGTTGCTAACACTTGTTTACCATGTAAATACACTTGAAATTCCAACCATTATCTACTACCACCATCACTGTATAATAGAGAAATATCATACTGTGGACAGTTCATACAAAGCAGAGAAACAATGGTTTCTAAGGAAGACAGACTGTGTCTTCAAAATATCCTTATAAAGAGAGGTGAGTAATTAAATCTTTTATATAGAAAAAGTACAACAAAATTATTTGAGGTCAATGCCTTTCTTTACAGCTTCCCTGATAAATTCACTTATCCATTCAGTATCGACATTCAACCGGTTCAGGGAGTGAGATTCCACTGTTCAACCCATTCTATTTTTTGTGTGTTTCTTAGAGACATCTTTTAGACACATGTTTTCATACAGGTTGCTGCTAAAAACTAGAGGCCATACTTTGAACCATTTGTGGATATTTTTGGAGAAATTGATTCACAGAATTCTCCATTCTTCCAGCATCATCCCTCTCTGAATGTAAAGCCTAGAAGGAGGAGGTTGGTGAGCTCCCTGGGCATTCTCATCTCAGGGTCCAGTTTATCTGAAGTGAATCCATTCCGCTGGAAACTGACCTAAGAGAGATACAGCAGGCTTGGATTGGCTCTGGTGTGGGAGCCAAGAACTGTTTTCAGGAAAGGTCTGATCACATTAGGCATACCACAGTGTGGGGGTTTTAATGCATTACTCAAAATGTTCCAGGACATTTGCATTATAAACCTTATTACTTGTTGAAGAATAATGTCTTTGCCCTTATTGAAATGATTTTATATATTTTTGAAGCACATAAGGAAGCATTTTCAGATGTAGAAGCTCTTTCCTGGAACCATATGAGATCATGTAGGATAGTTGGAATCTGCAAAGCATAGATTCTAAAGTTATTATTGAGTTGAATTCATGACAGTTTGGGAAAAACTACAGTGTAATAGGGAGGAGAGATATACTTACTGCAATAAGTGTATTTTAGGTTTTTAAAGATTTCCTCCTCATCTTGTTTAGTAATTAAAATATCCCAATTTGTTTATTTACTGTTTTTTGTTAACATTTTGGGATGAGGTTTAGCTTCACATATGATGTAAACTATGATTATCTTCCTTGAGAAAACAAATATAGAATAACAATGTTGTATTCAATATCAGGGAATCATGAGTCTCTCCCAGAAAGAAACTTTGATACAAAATCTTAAATGTTAAGAATTATTGTTGAAGCAAGGAATAGTGGCACATGCCTATAATCCCAGCAGTTCAGGAGGCTAAGGCAGGTGGATCACTAGTTCAAACCAGCAAAAGCAAAGCACTAAAGTAAGTAAGTAAGTAAATAAATAATAGTGAAGTGCTGAGCAACTCTGTGAGACTTTGTCTCTAAATAAAATACAAAATAGGGCTGGGATGTGGCTTAGTTCTTGAGTGCCCCTGAGTTCAATCCCCAGTACTCTCTCCACCCCCCAAAAGAATTATTGTTAAAGTGGTAAATGTAGTTCTTGGCCAAATCAAAATAACTATATGTACTGAAGATACTGGGTTACTTGGTTATGAATTAACTTGCATGATTACTAGGACCCGATTTTGTTCTCTTTATTCCATATAAAGAAACTAAGACTTTAACTCCAAAGCTAAATGACACACCTAGACTTGTCCATAGTGCTGTGGGATGTGTACATGTTTCCAAGTGTGGCTTTCTTCTCTTGGAGCAAAGCCTATTTAAGGAACTCTTTATCTTTCTATATTTTCTTCTAGAATGAAAATTTCTCCTGGAAATAGCTGCAAAATTTTCTGGATTTTTGCACCTTGCCTTGCCTTTGTAGAACTTTAACTTCCCTGTGTTTTATCTGCATACATTTAAAACCAGAAGAACAGTATTTTTTTTTCTGTTTCTAATGCCACAAAATAAAGGAAGAAGAGTAAGATAATAAATAACTTTTGATTCAAGAAATAAAAAACTTAAATTGAGGGTTGGGTTGATTTTAATAGAACAATTACATGGGTTTTCTGCAAAAGTAATCACTAATTGCATTAAAAAACAAAAGTTATCAGGATTTCTGAAACCCAGATATAGAGCTTGCTGAAGAGCATTCCCTGCATAGGACCTGTTCTCTACCCTGCCTCTCCCAAAAGCAGGCCATGGACCAAAAGAGGGTCCAACAACTTTTTGGTTTATCTTACCAATTTCTTTCTGATCTATTTAGGTAAGGAAGGGACATGGTAAATGTACCATATTCTCCATCATGAGCAGAGAACACACAAGTGTTACATGATCCCAAGCCTACATCCTCAGTCCCAGAGTGAGCAGAAAGGAAGGGTCAGTAACAATGAATGAGCACATTTCTGATTGTGATAAATTTTCTGGAAGTTGACCAGCTGTCTTACTGTAAACAATAATAAAACTGGACAAAATATATGAAGCACCTGTTTTCAGAGTTTGGATAACAGGCAATGAGTGACCGATCTCTGAGGAAAGAGAAGGATATGACATGAGTCTCACAATTTCCCAAACTTCTTGCCTAGAAGCATCTTGTCATAGTACAAAGATAGACTTTAGTAACACAGCAATGTTGACAGGTTGAAAAGGCAAAGATCAAGGTTTGTGCCACCGAGGCAACTAGAACTGAGGGCAGCAGGAAGCTGCACACAGAGAGACATGGATCCAGAGGCCTTTGTGGAATTCTCTGATGTCTTGGGTTAAGGCTGGGCTGCAGATAAGCAAAGGGAGACTCAAAGAATCTGGCAGAGAGCAGCTTCTGGGGACCTGAAAACTGAAGGAAGCTTCAGGAGATTGCATAGTCCAGGACAGGCATTCGAATCAGGCAGGTAGAGAGGCCTCACTTAGAGTTGGTGTTCAGTTGGACTCTTAGAAAGGTCATGATTAAGGACTGGGGAATCCCCTTGCCCAGAGAAAGGACTACTCTAAACATGTCCTAACAAAGACTTAATAAAACAGTCTTTGAAATGGTCAAGCTAGTTGGCCAGTAATAAATTGCTTGCTGGAAGAAAAGTTGAGAAACAGTAAAATCCAGACTCTTAGCAATACAGGACCCTCAATTTCCAGCAGTTAATAGTTGGAAGAAAGCATTGCTCAATTTGGGAAGAAGCACATTTCTAAAAAAATAACCTGGATTCAGGAAAAAGACAGTTGAAGAAAAAGATGCAGTGATATTGAAATCAGCACATAAGGACTTCAAATAGGTGTTACAAATACCTTTAAAAACTGGAAGAAAAATTTGGACATGTGAGTAAATAGAAATGTTGATAAAGAAATGGAAATTCTAAAGATGAAACAAATGAAAATTCTCAAGCTAAAAAATATAGTATTTGAAAGAATGAAATTGCTGGATGGATCTATCATTAGTTTGGTCATTTTGGAAGAATATAGAAGTAAATTTGAAGACAGGTCAATATAAACTATCAAAGCTGAAGCATGAGGAAAAACAAAATGACAGATGGGAAAGAATATATATATATATAATTGGAATTCAAGAAAGAATGGAAAAATATATGGTAAGATAAACATTTTAAATGATAGTTAAAAAATTTTAAATATTTTTAGAAACGTCAAATCACAGCTCTAAGTAGATCAATCAATATTCATTAGAATAAACACAAAGAAAGCTGTACCAAAGCATAGCGTATCATAGTTAAATTGCTGAGAACAATAGGTAAAGAAAATGTTTTCAAAGCAGTCAGAAAAACAAGACATCTTCAATACAGAACAACTAATATGAGAATGATAGGACATATATTTGAATTTCACTAAAGAAATTTTTACTCTTGAAAGAGAAAACTAAATGAAAAGAATAGACACAATGAATGGGTAAGTTCTTTGAAAGACAAATACTATCACAGTTCATGATGGAGAAATAGAAAACCCAAGAGCCCAAAATCAATTCACATAAAACCAACCCCTAGGCCTAGATAGTTTCTCTGGTGAATTGTAAGAAGTATTTTAGAAATAAATTATATGAATTTTACGCAAAATCTTTCAGAAAACAGAAAAGGAGGGAAGAATACAAAACTTGTTTAATGAAGTCAATGTTAATCTAAAACCCAAACCATGTCATGATGTTATCAGGAAAAACAAAACAAAGCAAACAAAACCCAAAAACTACAGACAAATAGTCTTCATCGGCAGATGAAAGTCTTTAACAAAATAGTAGCAAACCAAGTTTTGCCTTATGCAAAAAAGGATGACCTAACATGAGCATGTGTAGTTTATTCCAGAAATGCAAATATGGATTTATATTTGAAAATCAATCTGCATAATTCACTGTTACCAAAATGAAGTAGAAAAATCATTATGTCAGTATACTCAGAAAAATTATTTGACAAAATTAAACACCCATTATTCATGAAAATTCTCTAAAAACAAGATTAGGTGAATAGTTCCATGGGTTGATAAAGGGACTATCCAAAAATCTACAGCTAATATTATATATAATGATGAAAGATTAATGATTTCCTAAGATTGGGAACAAGGTAAGAATGTGTCTTTTCACCACTTTTATTCAACATTGCATTAGAGATACTAGTTAGTGTGATAAAACAAGAAAAATGAGAGTCACAGAGATTAGAAAGAAAACTGTAAGACTCTGTTTTTCTTATGGTGTGATTATAGATATAGAAATTCTTAACACAAGGTTAAAACAATCAATAGAACTAACAAATGAATTTAGATACAACTCTAACATATAAAACTCTACATGATTCTATGTACATAATAAGAAATAAAAATAGAATTAAAGATACTATGGTGTTAGCATAAAAAGGTGTGAAGTATTTAGAATTTGAAAGAAAAAGAAGACATGACAAATTTTCCATTCATATTTAAAAAAATATTACTGAAAGAAATTAATTGGAATGTTACAGTATTTTCACAAGAGGCAAGATTGTAACAATATCTATATTCTCCAAATTTATCCACAGATTCAATAGAATCTGAATTAATAATCCAATAGGCTTTTTTTGTTGAAATTGAAAAATAATTTTAAGTTTTTATGGAAATGCAAAAGACCCAGAATAGTCAAAAAAATATTGACAATGAAGAACAAATATAATATAGTTATGGCCTTGGATATATAAACAAACCAATGAAATGAAATAAAAAATTCAGATATAGAATTATCCATACATGATCAATTAACTTTCAACAAGATCTCAAAGAAATTCATGAGAAAAGAGAGCATTTTCTCAGTGCTAATAAAATTGGACAACATATTAGAAAAAATAAATTCTGAGCCCAAACAAGAAATCTTCTAGAAGAAAATATTAGAGATTTGTTTCAAGGTTTTCATGTAGGAAGAAACTTCTTAGGAAATAGAAAACACTCACAGTAAAAGTAAAAATATTGTAAATCAATTTCCATCAAAATAAAAAATTTCAACTCACTGACATAATGCTGTTAATAAAACTAAAAGAAAGACACAGATTGAGATAATATGTTTACAACTCAAAACATATTTTGTATCCACAATACAAGAAAAACTATTGCAACCTAAGTTTTTTTTGTCCTTAATAATGCCCTTTGTTAAAAAATCCAATTATAAAACATGTTCAAAATAATTGAATAGAAACGTCACAATGAAAGATATATAAGTAGCTAAGTATTCAAGAGTAGTATACATCTCGAGAAATGTAAATTAAAGCAAAGAGATACCAGTAAATGCCCCTTAGAATGGCTAAAATTTAAAAAAAAGACTGAGAATGCTAAATACGGGCAAAGATATAGAAAAAAATCATAATTCATATGTTGGCATAATATCTTTATAAAACTTTAAAAAATATTTCACCTATTAAATACATACCTATCTATGACCTACCAACTCAACTTCTAGATATTTACCTAAAGTAAATGAAATAAGTATGTTCAGAAAAAAGACTTGTACAGGGGTATTCTAGAAATTCCATCCTAGCTCCAAATTGGAAGGATCTCAAATGCTTGTCAAGAGAAGAAAGGATAAACAAATCATGGTGCATTCGTATAATGGAATAGCACAGAGCAAGACAGGCAAAAGAAAGCAAAAGGATTGAACTATTAAGGTACAGTATGCTGTGAATGAGTCTCAAAAGCATTATTTCAAGCAAAAAGTCTAGGCACATAAAAAATTAATTTAAAAATTATTTTTAAAAAAGTCTAGGCACATATGAGAATGTGCTATGGGATCTTCTTTGAGAGGTTCCAGAACTGGCCAAACTGACTCATGAGAAAGAAACCAGAACCTTTCAGGGTGGGTTGGAGATGGGCTGGGAAGAGACAAGAAGGTCTTTCTGGCACCATGAAAAGGCTCCATATTTAGATAGGGGTATGTGTCTCGTATATGCATTTGTCATGGAGCTGAAGCACATCCAATTTGTACATTTCAAATCATGTAAACTATACTTCTATTATTAAAAAAAATTAAAAAACCAAAAATCATGATTGGAAAAAAAAATAAATCAGAGGAATCAAACCTGAAAGTTTTATGTAATCTGAAAAAGGGGAAATGGGGGACAGAACAAGGTATTATTGAATCTATATACAAAGAATAAAATGAACCATGAAAGAGATCAAATATAGGTGGGTACGAGGAAAGGATAAACTATACGATCACTTATGCTTCACTTATCAGGACTCAGGTTTTATTTTTTTGCTTATTTTATAGATGTGAAAGTCTCAGATATATTAGAAAGGATTAGATATTGCAACAAGAAAAATCACTTCAAGTCCTTTGGAGCCATCCTGAGAGTCACACCAAGACAACTGTGTGGAAGTACAACAAAGGGAGAAGTCACCCCACCCCCCCAGAGCTGCAGGGACAGCTCGGAGATCAGCTTGATGCACCTCCACCCACCACTTGCGGACTAGTTGGCTCAGCGATTTGAGGGACTGGGGAAAGCTTACATGTTTTTGGAGCTTACATATGGATGCAAACACTGTTTTGTTCATAAACAACTTATAAACCAACTGTTACCAGTGTAATAAAAATTGAAAAAAATCCCCACAACTTTTGGTTCATGTCAATTATCTGGAGAACTCCTGTGAAATAACACATGTGCTAGAAATTTTAATAAAAAATGATAATTGCTAAACCATCTAAGAATTTGATTTTACCCTCTGCCTCTTAAAGAGGACTGAATATTTTATGGGATGGGTTATTTAAAAAATATCCATAAATTGAACACTTTGGTTCTATCCTGTTTTTCAAAAATTGAAAGTGAGGTTTTCTACTTTTGTCTTCCCCTTTGTAGGCCACGTACATTTCCACATCTAGTGCAGCTATCTTGAGCAATTACATAGCTGGGAAAGGAGGTTGACAGTTGGATTCCACAGAACTCTGTCGGTACCCTTGGGCTACAATTCTTCAGCCTCTTTTATAAGTTCCCTTCTTATGTTTTTCTTTTGCCAAAACACACTCTGACAGATGGCCTCCCTCGAGCCTGACCCACTTTCTTTCATAACTGTATATTCTAATGGAATACAGGTATGTCCGTAGGTGGGTGCTGCTTCTATCTAAACACAAACGCAAATCAGTGTGAACAGGTGGGCTACCCTGGGAAGTGAGGAAATAATTAACCTCCAAGCAGGCCCAGAAAAGGAGCAACATTTTGGAGCAAAGGCAAAGAATTTATCTCACAAATTTTCAGGAACATGGATTTAAAAACACTGCTTTCAAACTTGCATCCTATGACCACATAATGGGGTTTAGGCAACTTTTAAAAAAGGCTCTGGGTTGTTGCTAAGTTTTGTAAAACATAAGAAGGTTTGATTCTTTTGGGTGACTGTAAGGTGTGACTCTCTTCCTGCAATTTCAGAGATGGATAAAACTCATGAGTTTGGTCCTGAAAATACCCAAGTAAACAGGAGTCCAGTCTTCAGTATAGGTCACTCATTTGGCTTTGTAGGCTCCATTGCATCTACCTGGAGTTCGGGTGTTGAAGCCCCAACCCCCAGTCTCTCCAATGTGACTGTCTTTGGAGAAGGGCCTTTAAAGAGGTGATTTAGGTAAAATGAGGTCATCAGGGTTGGCCCTAATGCAAAATGATTGGTGTCCTTGAAGAAGAGGAGATTAGGACTCAGACACAGAGGATGACCTTGTGAAGATACAGGGAGAAGGTGGCCATCTACAAGCCAAGGAGAGAGGATGAACCAACCCTGGTGATGCCCTGAATTTCAGCCTCCAGAACTACGAGAAAACAAATCCATCATTGAAGCTTCCTGGCCTGTGGTATTCCATTATGGCAACCCTAGCACACTAGTATATCCATTCAACTCATCACAGAGTTAATTTCATAATTTCAGACTCTGATGCTATGATGAAATACTGCAGAAAAGACCTCACCTCCTTGGAGAGGCCTTTTTAGGGAGTGACTGATTAGCTAAGACTCAATGGGCTCATAATAATGTCTACCATTGATGAGGCACTCCATCTCTGAACCCAGGCAGGGTCTCATAGAGTGACAGTGGGCTACCAATCTGGAAAGGGAGGAGCCACACATGGGAGTTGGGAGTCCCAAGAGACCAGAGAGGAAAAGGCATAGAGCTTATGGATTGTGAAAGATGAGCAGTGGGAATAGGGAGAGAGTAGGCAGAAGTTCGTGTGTCGGAGAGAACCTCAGATCCAGGGCCCTCAGAATCACCTCCATGTTTGCTCCATGAGGTAACCAACATTTGGACACTTGTAAAGAACGGGACCTGAATGATCTGTTGGCTATCTCCATATCTCCAGGCAGACATATGGCAACCTTGGTCAATTAAACAAAGAGACTCTTGTCTTTCTCTGAGATGGGCTTCCACTTGGTTATGAGACTGCAAATTTTTATCTGGACTGGATTGCTCTATGAATTGAAAAATGAAGAGAAAGTTGTGAATTCTGCCTGAGATCCATTGAGGGATAGAGAAAGGGGGATGAAACAGAATAGGGTTAAAAGGAGAAATGGGAAAAAAAAAGTGCCCAATAATTGTTCCATGTTTTTACTCCAAGGAGTTGAAACTCTGAATGAGGCAGTGATTCCTGCTTTGTGAGTGAACCTCCCCAGACTCCGGGTACTACCTTGCCCTCTGGAACTCTTGCCTTTCCACGTGCTGACCTCAGACTCCCAGGCTTCCCAGTCTGCCAGCCTGGCAGTAGTGGATGCTTCCCTCTGTGTGGGGGCTGGAAGCAAGAGGGAGAGTGAGAGGAGAGTTCCTTTTACCCTTTGAAGCCTTGGGGGAGTGCAGGAAATACACAACTCCTCAATTCGTCTCAAATTCCCAAACACCTTGGAAGCAATCTCTACTGGAAGCTGCGGCAAGCTCCTGGCAGGGATGAAGGCTATTAGTAACCGTGTGCGCACAGATGTGGGTTCTAATTCGCAGGCATTAGCAGCATGGTTGCCAATTAGTTGCTTGACAAAATTTAGAGCTCTTTTATATGGAATCTGTTACTTTCTCATTTCTAAGTCATTTTGTTCTCCTCCTAGAGCGGATTATTGTGTTAATATTGGGCCATATCGCAGGTATGTTTTTGAGCAGACAGTGATTGCAGTTTCCAAGACCATGCAGACATCCGTGGCTTGAGATATATATACATACATATATATATTGCATTCCAGCTAACTTTGGTTTATTTTTGGAAATAGAGAAAAAGCCTAAACACAAACAAGCATAGACCAGATTGTTCCATGTGCTCTTCCAGATGTGAACGGTGGGCACAGGCACAGATGGTCTGACAAGTGATTGACAGGGGAAGGTGAATCTTTGCAAGAAAGTATATTTAAATTAGGAATAAGATTCTAAAGGTGTGTGTTCACACTTCTCTTGGAGAGACTCATAGCTTTCCAAATGATCTGCCAAGGCCTTCTGTGGCTTTGCAAAGTTCTAAACATCTTCTTTCTACGCTCCATTTGGGAGTGGATGCTTTTAGAAATTGGATGACATAATTCTCTACAGTGGACTTAAGATGTGAGCACTACTGCAGGATCTCTCCCTTTGCTGCTGGCCCAAGTGTCATGCTGCACAACTGGGGTCACAGAGCTTGGACTAGAGGCCATCCAGCCTCTCTATGACTGACTACCTTCTCTATATGGGGCATCTGAATGGTCCACAGCAGCGAGTGACAGTGAGACAAGTGGAGAGATTGGGGCTCAGCTGCTCTGTTGCTTCAGACCCTGACATCAGACCAGGGAGCTAGCAGCTCCTTTGGCAGAATGTCCTTCCACTAAACCAAGGAATTGAGCTCCTCAGAGTTACTTCTTCAGCAAGTGCCTCCTGAATCTGCAGCCTGCTATGCACCTGGCTGAGAAACTCACCTGTTTGTGATAGCAACTGCTCTCTGCAATTAGCTAGGCAGTCAGGGAAGTCTTGATACAGCTTGCACTGTATTTCTCCACATATCAATCTTCCCCCCTTGAAATAAGCACTCAGCCACCCTTTGGCACACACAACCATAGATGATGTCCCTTATCCTAGTTTCATGTTGCTGTAGGAAATTCCCCAGCTCTTTTCTTCTTTTGTGCTATGTATGTGTTGGCTCTTATCTAGACAAGGGGCAAAGTTACTATCAGTTCCAAAAGGCCTGTGCCTTTTAGAACACCTTTAATCGTTTCATTGTGTTCATCTCTTCCACCTTAAGTATTAATTTCTGTTGGGGGACCACCTGTGGGAGATGAAGGAGCTCTTGGTCAGAGAGAGCAGGAGGCCAAGGACTCTTGTGATAGATTAAACTGTGGTAGATTTGGGGCTGGGATCAGGTGCCTTTACTACTTACTTGGTTCGGAGGATGAGCAAATGTATGAGAACGTCTACAAGACGTGACTAGACTGTGATTCTGATCAGTGATTCTGTTAGTTGGCCAGCAGGATGCTGGAAGGGCTCATAAAATATGCATTGACCCTTATAGACCTGCTTGGTCCTCAGAGGACTATAGTGAGTGGGTCACAGCCATGGTGGGAAGGTAATACCTGACACGGTAAGGGTTAATTCCAGGGTGGTTTTGAATTTCCCGCTTCTATAGATGTGTTTAGCCCAAAGTCTTTGTTGTTGGTTCTTTATGGGTTCTGCATCTTCCTCTCCCTTCCTTCCTTTTTTTGGAGAAACATTATACCCATACTGCTTTACTTTGCAGTTTTACGTACTATTTCCTTTTTTAAAAAAATAAAAAATAAAACTGTTTTTCTAAGTAGGTCTCTCTAGACAGGCACCTCCTTTCTTTCCTATGCTGGAAGTCAACCCTCAACCATCACTCCCACCAGTGAATGACTGGTCACTCCAATCAGTCACTGAGTTGGAGGCTCTCCAGGGTTTTCAAGTAGTGCATTGTCCAAGAATACCCCTGAGATAGGGTTGTTTTGCACACAAGTTTCCATAGCTCAGTGGAACTTTAATTATGGACCATGTGTGTTGCGTGCTTCCTTATATCCCTTCCCAATATGTATCCCTTGCACCATAAGAATACAGCCCAAGTCAAGTCTCTGACCTTGCAGGAACATGCTATTTACTGTTGTGGATGGTGTCTAGTGTGGGTGTTAAGTTTCTTTGATGTGGGTTCTACTGTATAGAGGGCACATTTCTTCATGTGGGTGTGGGCTTTAGACTGTGCTCTCATAGTGACATTGAGGATATCATGAGAAGCATTTGCCCTGATTTACTTAGCAAGTGCTCTGGGGATAGGGCATAGTCTGTCCCTGTGTGCCTTGGCCTGTCCCAGTTTGTCCTGTCATTTTGGTGTGATCTTTAATAGCATCACTCAACTCATAAGTGTCCCAGTTTGGAAGATAAAGTATAAGGTCACCCTACTTACGAACCAAGCTCTCATTTGAAGGTGGGTAGCCTGAAGGCAATTGTGCTCTTTAATCCCTGACCCCCTTCTGATTCTAAAGTCAAACTCCTCTCTTCCCACTAGATGTTTTACCAGATTGTTTCTACAGACGTTTCTGAGTTGATCTGCTCAACACAGAAGGAGCGTCTCTATCATGTCCAGCGTTTCTCTGACCCATTTAGTACCATCTACCTA